GCTCAGACGGGGCCTCCAAGGGCAGAGCCACACACTGGGTCCTCTCTGTGCCCCAGCAGTGCCTGGCACCCAGAAGTGAGAGGTCGCTGCCTCCTCAGCGCTGTCAGGCCAGGCTCTCAGGAACACGTGAGGGATCCTAGGGGGGCCAGGCTCCCACAGACCCCTCAGGAGGACAGCAGCCATGCGGTGATGAGGAGGGGGCCTCGGCTGTGCTGGGGATGGAGCCCTCTGTCTGAGAGCTCATTAGAGACAAGCCATCACCCGGGGCGCCAGACGCTGACCCAGCAGGGCTGCCCCAGGCCTTCCGCAGCCCATCTGTCCCCGACCTGCAGCCCCACGGGTGGGCCTTCCGGGTACCCAAGCAACCAGGTGTGTGGGAGCCCCAGAAGGCCCAGAGCAGCAAGATTCTGGGGGCACCAGGAACCGGGCCTTCTGTCTCTGGGCCTGTCAGCCCGAGTGAGACGCGCCCTCCCCAGTATGCACAGCCAGGTCCCTGGGACCAACCCCACCTACCCTAGGCTCGGGGCCAGGCCTGGGCTCCGGCATGTGGGTCACTGTGGACCTCAGTTTCCTCATCTGCAGTGTGGGATGATCATCTCCACATAGGCTGTTAGGTGCGACAGGTCTTGGAAGGTGGGAAACTTCACGTGGACGGAACGGAGAAGGGCCCATGTCGGGGCTGACCAGGCACCGGCTGCCCCGACCCTCGCCTCCGTAGAGCCTAGTTAACTCTGCTTCCCAGGCAGGGGCCGTCAGCCTTAGGGATACAGTGGCCACAGAGCCCTGGCCCTGAGGTCCCCTGGGGGGTCCAGCCTGCCCCTCCCCAGCACCTGGGCTGCCTGGCTGTGCGGGGGAAGCCCTGCCCACTCAGGAAACAGCACCAGGGCCAGTGAGCAGAGCCTCAGGAGGGCAGATCTCATTTCAGCCCCAAAGCATCTGTGGCCTTGGCATCTCCACGTGGCAGTGCCGAGGGCCAAGCGGCCCAGTCCGCCTCTCAAGCTTGATTTGAATGGAGCCCATGGAACGGGAGTTGGCGGTTTCGTAGGGGACACTTACCCTTCGCTGTTGCTGGAGCCCCCAGATGGACAGTGTGGTGTCCCAGCGGGAGGGGAGTGGGCAGGGCAGAGGGTCCCCAAAGGGTATTCGTGTGTCTTCGAGCCCCTGTGCCTCGGGGCCCCTGGCCTGGGGCTCACGTTCCCCTCTGGCTCCTGGGCTCCACCAGCCAGCTCACCCACCTCTCTCCTCCCCGACTGTCTATGCAGGGGCTCAGCCCCCACAGCAGTCACCAGGAGAGAGCCCGTGAAGGGGCCCAAGGGACGCTCCGCCTGGCTTTGGCGGCCCTGGACCCACTTCTAGAAAACAGCCTGAGAACATCACCTCTGGTGGGCAAGGAGAGCGTTTTTTGCCCCAGGACAGCCTCCTGTGCAGAAGACACGCTGACCACTCAAGTGATTTGGGGAGGCCAGCCATTCCGTCCTCCCCACATCACTGTTCTGAGCTCCTGACTGGGGCTGGAGGCCTGTGGACAAGGAGCCAGGCCTGGACGGGCAGTGGCGAGCTAGTCCCCGGGTCAGGGCCTGGACCGTGGAACCCCGGTCCGAGAGAAGGCTGGACCCGGGCCTGCCCCTGACCCGCGTTTCCCCGCAGGCACGCCAGCCCCGCCGGCCTGCTGCTGACCACGGTGGTGGCGCTCACCTACACGGTCGCCATCCTGTACGAGGAGTGAGTAGGCGCCGTCTCGGGCCAGGGCTGCCGTGTACCGTCCGCGTCACCTGCACCAGCCCTGCCTCTCCCTCCAAGGCCTTTCCTGGGGCCTGGGCAGCTGGCCACGCCGAGTCACCATCAGGGTGGCAGACGAGCAGCTGAGAGCGGGCACAGGGTGGCCCGGGTGCCGGGCAGGTGGTGCTGGACCCTCCTGCTCCGACACGGACCCCTCACCCTGTCCACGCCGGGTGGGGGGCCTGGGTGGCAGCGTCAACCTCGACGCCAGCTGAGTGAGCCTCTCTCCCACCCCCGCAGGCCCTTCACCGCTGAGATCTACCGGCAGAAAGCCTCCCAGGCCCACAAGAGGAGCTGACGGACCGCGGCCACTCCGTGGGGGTCCCCACCTCGGGCTTGCCCCGAGCACACGCCCCTCGAGGGGAGGGGGAGAGCGGTGCCTGGCCTGGGCCGTCCAGTGCCTTGGAAACGTGGCTTGGGGGCCTGGAAGGTGCCGTGTGGCCCCAGAGCCCCCTGCCACCCACCACATCCTGACCAATAAAGGCGCCTGACCCCAGCCCCTCCTTGGTCTCTGTCTGTCCAGGCCAGGGAGGGGCAGGCTGGGGTCTGGGAGGGGGTCCGTGAGCCAGGAGCGGCGCCGCCATCCACGCCGAATGGGGGGGACTGCCCAGGCCTTTGGGCCTCCTGTGCCACCAGCCTCACCCCACTTCTGCCCCTTGCGGGGGGCCAGCGGGACCGGCCCTGCCTCGGCTTCCTGGGTCGGAAGCACTGGGCCCTCCCCCATCCCCCTGCTGAACCTGGTGTCTCTGGGTACTGACATTCCTCTCCTAATCCCTCGTGGACCTCGTGTGGCCACAAGGAGCAGCTGTGGGGCCATCCGGGGCCGGTTGCCGGGCCTGACCACAGAGCCACAGGGACGGGGCAGGACCCGCATTTGGGCCCGGCGTCCCTTGCACAGCCCCCAGCCCTCCAAGGGCACAGAACTCGCCTTTCCTCCCTTCAGGATGGCAGACGGGTGTACTCTGTGTGCGCCTGGCCCTGAGCCTTGCGTTCTCACCTGTGAAGTGGCTGCCACAGCCGTGCCCGCCCTGGGCACCGGAGCTGCTGGGCCCCCACCCCGCCATGGAGCGCCTCAAGGGTGCCCTTTGGTGTCTGGGCTCCAGAGGTCTCCGGGCTCGAGGGGCCACAGGAGGCACAGAGGCTGATCTTACCCGACGCCTCTGCTCACATACCTTCAGGGACAGGAAGCTCACCCCTCCGCGGGCACCGCTGCACACACATCCTCCCTAGCCTTCAAGGACATGCTGGCCCCCATGGCCTAAGCCCTCCCTCTGTCAGGGCAAGACCAAGCACCTCCGGGCCTCTGACCCGCGGGTCACGCCGCCGTGAGGGGTGGGCCCGGAGTGGGGAGGGTCAGCTGTGATGGGAGCAGCCCGCAGCTGAGGAGGGAACTGCCGAGGAAGCGAGGTCAGAGGGGAAACCCAGCTCCGTTCAGCCCTGCCCTCTTCGTCAGGTGTGGCTGTGGGCCGGGGTGACACAGGACCCTCTGGGCGAGGAGCTGCTGGGGGTGGGCTCGGGCGGCAGGCTGGCGCTCAGCACAGCATCCATCCACACGCCCCCTGACGTGGCCTGCCCGGCACTCCTCAATACGGCTTTCAAGAACCTTCTAAACCACTCTGTGCCAGCAGACCAGGCTGTGGTGGACACTTCCTGCCTTGGGGTCCAGCTGTCCGACCCCAGCCCACCCCCAACGTTTGGGTTCCCCATTCCACTCTGAGCTGGAAAATCGCTTCATTGCAAGGAAATGATACAGGCAGGCGCTCAAGCATAGGAAGAGAGATCACTGGTAACATCGTAAACCTGGACAACCTAGAACTAATGCAATGGTGGGAGGGAGGGGGCACACTTTGGGGAAAGAACGACAGGTGTGCTCAGGGCCTAATGAACTTGGCTGACCTGGGAGAACAAGTCTTAGAACCCGGCATCTGTGGGTGGGGATGGGCCCAGGTGCCAGGAATCGAAGGTTGAGAACCCAGGCTGGGCTCAGTACCCACCACTGTCACCAGCTGGAAGGGGCCGGACCTGGGGTCGGGGGAGGGAGGCTCTGACCCTAGGCTGGGTCCTGGCCCACTGACCACCCCAGGGAGAGCTGTGTTCAAACCCTGGACCCTGCAGTTACTAGCTGTGGGCCCTGGGCAAGTCACTTCCCTTGCCTCAGTTTCTCTACCTGTAAAATGGAGAGAGTAATAGTTCCCACCCCTCACGGGTGCCACGAGGAAGGACTTAAGAACAATGCCTGGCATGGAATACGTGGAATAAACACTCTCCTGGCCCCCCTGCAGAGGGTGTGAGATTCTGCTGGAATCCTCGTCATAGAGGGCTGGCCGAGAAGCCCATGAGAGTCTAGAGGCCCTGTGTAAACAGCTAGGGGTGCGGGCTGGCACCCCAGCATTGCCCACAGCTCCGACCTGCGTGGATGCGTGGATGGGTGGGTGGCAACAGCTAACAGCCCTGGCTTTCTCCCAAATCAGAGTGCCTCGCCTGTCACCACGGGGAGCGATGGCTTTTCCATGAGCTCCAGGCCAGAGCTGGCCAGCTCCGGCAGCCTCTTCCCCAGCCTTTCGGCAGCAGCCCACTCCTGGTTACTGATCTACCTGCTGCCCCCGCCCCCCGGCTTGTCCTGCAGCCTCGTGGGTCATTTGCTATTGTTGTTATTACTAGGTCCTGCCCCTACACTGTTCGCAAGTTCTCAGCCAGTCAGAGCCAGACCGCCATCTTCCAGAAGAGGAACCCGAGGTCCAGAGAAGGCCGGAGACTGCTGTGATGCCCACACAGCATTCAGGCTCACTCTGGCTTCGAGACCAGCTCCCCCAACTATAAAAATGGGAATGTTGGCCCACGGGACTCCAGAGGCACAAAATGCTATGGGGAGGGGAGGGGACATTGGCCTCAGACTAAGCGCAAACCTCTGGTCCTTCCAGTCTCCGACAGGAAGATGACGGGACAGCCTCTGGCTGAAAACCCCTGCCAGGATCCAGGGGATCTTTGGTTGGGAGAAAGGAGCTGAGCCTGCAGTAGAACGCGGGGTCGGGACGCTCTGGCTGCGCTGACTCCAGCCCTGAGCGTGGCGCTCACGGCTCCCCGTTCCGGCGGCGGGGCCTCTGCTGCACTCTGGCGGCCGGAGCGCGAGGCGCCCACCTCGCGCTGGCACGGCCGCCCGGGAGCAAAACCCGCCTGGGACGCGAAGGGGCCTACGCTGGGCCAGTTCGCAGAGCTGGCGAGAAGATGGGCGGAGCCCGGACGCGGTGCCTAGCACCAGGCAAGCACATGCCATCACGCTGCCCAGTGTCGTTATTCTCTGGCGAAGCTGCGTCCCAAAGAAAGTGAGTGTGTGCGCGTGTGAGTGCTGCGGTGGCAGGGGAGTGGGGGGTTCTTTGCCCCAGGCCAGAGGCACAGCCGGGACTGTGTCCCCGACGCCCTTAGGGCCGCTGAGCCCCGCGCAGCGGAGAAGCGAAGGGTCCGCGCGCCCGTAGCCGCAGGCAGACCCTGTACCGTTTCCTTCCCGAGCCCCGCGGGCGGGAACGGGCAGCGGCCCGCGGAGGTGGAGGGAGCGCGCGGTGGGGCCCGCGAGCGTGCGCACCGTGACGCGCAGAGGCTGGGCGGGCGCGGGGCGGGGCGGCCACGCGGGCTGCATATAAGGGCAGTCGCCGGGCGCTGAGAGGCAGAGGTTTCGTCCCGAGCTCGAGCCGCGCCGCTCTGACCCGTTCCCCCAGCCACAGTCGGCTCGTCTCGCGGCCCCGCGCCCGCCCCCGCGGTCCCTCTGCTCAATGAAATTGGCCGCGATGATCAAGAAGATGTGCCAGAGCGACTCGGAACTGAGTATCCCGGCCAAGAACTGCTACCGCATGGTGGTCCTTGGCTCGTCCAAGGTGGGCAAGACGGCCATCGTGTCGCGCTTCCTCACTGGCCGCTTCGAGGACGCCTACACGCCCACCATCGAGGACTTCCACCGCAAGTTTTACTGCATCCGCGGCGAGATCTACCAGCTCGACATCCTCGACACGTCCGGCAACCACCCTTTCCCCGCCATGCGGCGCCTCTCCATCCTCACTGGTGAGCCGGGACGGCCGGGCAGCGGGCAGGGGAGGGAGCGCGCCGCCGCAGTGCCGGGGACCCCTCGTCCCCGGACGCCTGGGTTGGAGGCCTGGGTTGGAGGCGCGGCCGCGGAGAGTTCGGCGCGACCCTCGCGGCGGCCGGAGCCCCGGCGTCGGGAGGCCCCGAAGTCAGCCCGCTTAAGTTGTCCCCTGGCGGCTGCCCTCACCCTCTCCTTTTCTGCTCCCCGTAGGAGACGTGTTCATCCTGGTGTTCAGCCTGGACAACCGCGACTCCTTCGAGGAGGTGCAGAGGCTCAAGCGGCAGATCCTCGACACCAAATCTTGCCTCAAGAACAAAACCAAGGAGAACGTGGACGTGCCCCTGGTCATCTGTGGCAACAAAGGGGACCGGGACTTCTACCGCGAGGTGGAGCAGCGCGAGATCGAGCAGCTGGTGGGCGCCGACCCCCAGCGCTGCGCCTACTTCGAGATCTCGGCCAAGAGGAACAGCCGCCTGGACCAGATGTTCCACGCGCTCTTCGCCATGGCCAACCTGCCGCGCGAGATGAGCCCGGACCTGCACCGCCGGGTATCGGCGCAGCACTGCGAGGCGCTGCACAAGAAGGCGCTGCGGGGCAAGAGGCTGCGGCGAGCGGGCGGCGACCAGGACGACGCCTTCGGCATCTTGGCGCCCTGGGCGCGCAGGCCGAGCGTGCACAGCGATCTCATGTACATCCGCGAGAAGGCCAGCGGCGGCGGCCAGACCAAGGACAAGGAACGCTGCGTTATCAGCTAGGAACTCCCGCCCCGCGCGGACGCAGAGCCTCAGAAGACCCTCTTGTCCAAGAGTCAAGTGTCCGGGCCGTGCGTCCCGAGCCGCGTGCGGGCGCGCGCGGACGGGCGTCTTCCTTCCCAGCACTCCAGCCTGTTCACTGGGGAGACTCAAAGAAACCGAGAAGGGACCATTATCTGCTCCGGAAGGAAAGAGAGCTAGCTGAGCCCGGGCTCCCCCCACGTCCGATCCCCCGTAGGCGCCCGCTAGCCCCACCCGCCCAGCAGAGGTTGAATTTGCCTTGTTTCTCACAAAGACCTAAGAATGGGGGTGGGAATGGGAGTTAATCAGCCACCACTGGGCTTTCAGAAATGGGTCCTGCCAGCTGGAGGGCCAGGACAAAACGGGGCATTATCTGTGATTGGGGGTTGCCATGACAGCTGGCCTGAAACTGAGGGCGGGGTCCGGTCTAGGGAGTGCCTTGTTTACATGTGTGCGCAACTGCACAAAGCGAAACAGAGAACTCGCACTGGATGGTAGTTCTGGTGTCACCACCTGACGTGAACAAAACCTTACCTTTGAAGTCAGTCTTGTTACTGGTTTTTTAATGTAAAATAAAATAACTTAAAATGGAAAACCATGCTTCCTCTGCTTTTAGAAATAGGGGGAAGGGGGAAGGGTGAGAAGGGAGAGGCGGGTTTCTACTTCTGTGGAATTAGACTCCCCTTCCCCAGAGCTGGAAAATAATCCTGGCTTTCTGAACACAGCTCCAGCCCTCCTGGGAGAAAAGGCTCCACAAAAGCTCCAGCTGACTGGATGCCTTTCCGCTCGGGGAGCCACTCCTCAGAACGCCAGGACAAAAACAAAGCACTTCAGCGTCCTTCCTAGAGATGCACCTTTCCAGCTGTTTACCTGCCTAGGTTGCCCACTAGCCCAGCCCCAAGGGCCTCCGGGACCGGCCGGCGCCGTCCTATACTCAGCACAGGCCCAGGGCAACAAAGCGTCACCAAACCTGGAACCCGCAGACGGTTCAAGGGGTCCCTCGGGCCCTCTTCTGTGCAGGACCCTCATCCTGAGTCGGCTTCAGGCTCTGCCACGTAGCCACCCGGATCCAGTCACAATGAGCGGCCCCGGCCCCTCCGGCTCCAGGAAGCGCTCGCCACCCACGTGGGGTCCAGCACCCCCTCTCCCAGCAGTTGAGGGCACCCAGTCCCAACTCGGGACCCAGCTCTCTCCGCCACTAGTAACTGTGCACGCCTGGGGCAAGTGACGCCTGCCATGCCCCAAATTCTCCGCCCGTGAAATAGAGAGCAGACGCCTCTGCTTGGGGTTGCTGTGAGGGCCACGGGCAACGTCTTACATGGTGCCCACCAACAGGCATCCAAGTGAGGTGTCAATGCTGTCCCGGGGAGGGCTTTCAACCGTTCTGGGGGACTGCCCCCCACCAGGGCCCAACCCACCTCTGAGAGGAGGAATGGCAGCCCCGGGGGCCCCCGGGCCAGCTGCACCCTGGGGATGGATGCCACTCCCGGGAGGGTCAGCCCATGTTCACGTTGGTCTAGCTGATGTGGCCATGTGTGCTGGGGGCTGGCGCGGGGGCACAGAGTGGAGGTGCCCACAGTTCCTTCTGTCTCCTCCGAGCAAAGCAGAGGTTTTCCTCTCCACTATCCAAAGGGGAGGTCCTACTGTGAATTTCTCAGTACAAACCCAAGACGTCCTGACAGCAGAGCACAAGTTCTTTTAATCACACGCTTGAAAAGTGCCACAAGTCACAACTCTGGAGCACAGGAGAGGCCCATGAGGAGCCCGTGTCCGCCGCAGCCTTCCGGGAGAGCCCGGCCGCCTGGTGTTTCTGAGCTTCGTGTCCCACAGTATTTGGTCGGAGCCTTAAAACCGGCCCACACACTACTCTGAAACGTCAAGAAAATAACTGATTCAGTTGATAACATCCCCATGGTAGAGCTGGACTAACAGGTGACACCCACTTAAATTCAGAGCCTGCGTCTCTGGGCAAGGCCGCTGAAACCTGACACCCCCCTGCACGCCTGACATGGACAGAACCCCTGCTCAAAACATCTTCAACCTACATTCCTGCCAACTGGCAGGCAGCTGTTAAGCCCCCGACTCGGTCAGCACAGGTTATGAGCCCGTTTGTCCCGCATCCTTCAGAGGCGAAGGAAAGAGATGCTCTTACCTCAGTCTGGTCACACTAACACAACGTCCGTCTAGGTGAAACAAAGGTGTTTATAAGCATCTATGAACCAGGCCTTGGCCGCACGACTGCCAGGTGAGTTCTCCCCACCCCGAGGGGCTCTGAGCGGAAAGCACATCATGGCCGCCTGTTTGCGCGCAGTGAGGCCAGAGGGGAAGCCGCGCTAAACCAGGAACAGGACTCTGAGAAGCTGGAAGGGGTCTGTTCACCTGGAGACCACGTGGCCTGAGGCGGTCTGGCCATTCTTGGGCATGAAGTGGCTAAACGAGCTGCCTGAAGGTGACAAGGGACAGAGGAGCAAGAGCCTCTGCCACCCACCCACACGTAGGAGGCAGAAACCTGGAGGCGGGGCTGCCGGCAGGGCCCTGGGTGGGCAGCCCACGGATGGTGACACCCACCCCTCAAACACAGAAGGAAACAAATATTCCAGAGCAAAAAGCCACCCTCAAGTCTTTAGGAACCGTGCCGTTCTCCCAAGGCCTTTTTCTATCCTAAACCCTCGCCATGTGAGTGCAGGCCTAACTGTCCAGTGGACTCCACGCACCCTGCTGCTCACTCAACACTGGCTACCTGGATACCCACCACCTGGGCCGGGAGCGGAGGGGAGGGGCAGAGGGCAGCCGCCTCCCTTCCCCGGGATCTGCCAGCCCAGCCTGAAGGCCGTGCCGCGGCCCCGCCCCTCCGGCCTCAGGAGCCCTCCTCCATCCGGCGGCATGCACACAGTCATTATGCATCTGGACCGTGGGGACAGTACACAAGGACGCCCAGGGAGGCCAGCACGCACACCGCTCCGCAGTCAGGGCCACGTTCAGCTAAGCAGGCAGTACCAGAGACCCCCTCCCCAGGGCTGGAAGACAGGAGGCCCGTGCCCGCCTCGTCCCGGAGGCCAGCTCATCTACTCCTTGGGGATCTCGAACATGCACAGGCTCTTGTACTTCTGCAGGAGCTCGTTCTTGGTCCGGACCTGCTCGCGGAGGCGGTGCAGCTGCTGCTGCTGCCGCTCGGGGCTCAGGTGGATGCCAGGCATGGCGCCGACCACCTTGCGCATCTCCTGGAACTTGGTCCTGAGGGCGTTCAGGTCCTGCTGGACATCAGGGCTGTCCTTGTCCATGCTGCGGAGGCAGAGGGCAGGTGTTAGCACCATCAGCCCAGACAGCTCCATCCTCGCATCCCCACGTCAGAACGCCTGTCGCCTGTGTCCCCGGCTGGGCTGGGCTGGGCTGGGCTGTGCGCCCGGGGGACGGGGCGGGTTCTTGCCTGTGCAGCCGTAGTGCAGGCGGCACCCCAGCCCCCAGCAGGTGCCCGCCGGACGCTGAGCCCTCCCGCAGAGCTGCTTCCCCAGCCCGGGCCATGGGCGCTGCACACACTGAGGCAACATTTGCTGAAAGAGTGGACGCCTGGCAAATAAGTTCCTAAGTGTCTGCTGAATGAATGAAAAACTCTTACCAATGTCATGTAACAAACGGCAAGTAACACTTGCTGAAATACCACATTTCTAATTTGAGACATTCCAGGCCAATCAGGAGACTATCAACGAGCAAAAGATAATTTTAGCTGATGTTCAGATGCTTGAACCTGTTTACATCCTAATTTCCACAGAGCTATTCATAAATTTTAAACTAGTTACAAGCTACTGGAAAATTTTCAGCAGGTACCCATCCTCTCCCACCACACTCGTGTAAATTCCTCGCCTTCCGGTCACGCTCATTTTAAAGGCAGGATCGTACTCTTCACCTCACAGCTATTACTAGCTGCCCAGAGATCCATGCTCCCTGTCATGACTAAATTAAAAGCAAACAACAAGAACAAAAACCTTCACCTACGATCAAAGAAACGGCCTGTCAGTTGCTCCTATAAATTTTTTAAAAGTTAGTAGATGGATGGATGAGCTTTTGAAAACAAGGCAGTTGAGACTAGAATCTAAAAGCTGATTCACAGGCTGTTTTCAAAGTCACCCACTGAGTAGCGTGAGAGGGGAAAACTGTCAATGATCGTTTATTTTTTTTAATAAACGTTCATCCCTGATGGGAAATTTCAACCCAGATGGTGCCAGTTCATGTTTCTTATTAATCATTTCTCTGCTTACGCAGACAGAATATCCATCTTTCCTGGCGATCCGCCGGTTACAGCTCATTCCTGACAAATGAGATGCACCAGGCCTGCTCACTATTTATCAATAGCTTGAACTTGGAAGCAAGATTTGGAGAATCAATAGTTTATTCTAGGGAATGAATGGCCAACCAAACATTTCCTCTTGCCATCTGAGGCCCTCAATTTGCACACACCATCAGTGGTACACCTTACCCCAGCTTCGAGGGAGCACCTTATATTCTAATTCTTTTATGTCTCAGCTCAGATCTACAACCCTGGACAGACACCACTTGGGCTTCTGAAATCATTCCACTTGGATGGCATATGTGCTAACACATCGTTACGAATTTAAGTCCCAAGGGAGTTTTGAAATTAAAATATAGTTTTAAGAAAACTGATTTACATCACACAAGTCTCAAAGGACAAGGTAAAAACAAACAAAAATATATAAAATAAAAATTAGGTAAATAACAGGGTCCTACTGTATAATACAGAGAACTATATCCAGTATCCTATGATAAACCATAATGGAAAAGAATATTAAAAAAATGTACATATATGTGTAACTGAATCACTGCTGTACAGCAGAAATCAACACAACATTGTAAATCAACTAGACTTCAATAAAAAAATGCAAAAAAAAAAAAAAAGGGAGGGGAGGAAATTAGGAGCCATTTATAAAGCCCACCCGGAGGGAAGCTGAGCTGGGAGGCGGCTGCGCAAGCTTCTCAGGCTGCCTGAGGCGGAGGCAGCGGGACCCTGACTCCAGCCAAGAGAAGAGATGGCCTGGGTACCAGGGAGCAAGCGGGAGCTCCAGGGGGCCCGCCTCTGTGGCCAGTGCTGGTCGGCACCTGACTCAGAAGGAAACAAAGGAGACCAGGCTGGGTGGAGAAGCACAAAATCCACAAACCAGGGCAAGGTGAGGGCGCTCAGGACACCACCGCGTGGCTCGAGTGACGGGCCACTTCCTGCCGGTCCTCTGGGCGGGCCCGGGTGATGCGTGGCGGCGCCCGGTGGGAGACACGGGCTCGGGCACACCACACAGTTCTAGCGGGTAAGCCTAAGAACGATGCTTCACTTGCAGGTGCAAACTGGCGTCAGCTGGGCAGGTGTGTCCACTGGTGACTCAGAAGCAGAAGGAACCACCAGGTCACTGAAGTCACGTCCTCCCAAATCCGAGAGGCATTTCTTTGATCTCTTGGTGGCATCCGACTCGGGAAAGAAATGGGAAACTATTTCTCCCTCCTCAAAACCTCCGACCCCCTTGGCCCCATGTCCCCACACCCCCAATGTCCTCCTCGCCGACCGGCCCTGGGACCAGTCTTCTCCCCACACTAACGTCAGTGGCTGGCATCTTTCTAAAATAGTAGGGCCTTTAAGTTACGACAGTTACAGGGCTTGAGGCAAAAGAATGTTTAATGACAGACAACCAAGGCTTACAAAAGGGAAGTCCCTCTAATCCCTTGTCCCAGGTAAGCTCTGTTAACACGTGGTGCGTATTGTTTAATATCTCTTCAAGATAGTCAGTAGCACACAAACACACACATACTTTTCAGTTTGTTTTGACAAATGTGGCCACACTCCACACACGGTTCTGATTCTCGCTTTCTTCATGTAGAATGCACCCTGGGTGTCTGTCCGTGCTAAGATGTACACGATTATACGGCTAGATGACTTGGCTGTTGATAGGTATGCGCGTGTTTGCAACTGATCGCCTGCAATCCAAACGGCGATGACATCCCACACCTACACCCCTGTGTGCCGTGTGCCCCACCGCCCCCCGCCCCCCCAGCCACTCCACCTGCCATCCCCCTCAGGGCACCCCTGCACCTCTTCCCACTATTCCTGTGGACCCAGTCCTTTCCCCCTTCTAAAACCCTCTGTCCCATCTAGCTCTACAAAACCCAGGCCTGAGCTCAAAAACTTCAGATGGCTCCTCGGCTCCCAGACAAGTTCACACTCTGTGTGTTTGTGTGCGTGTGTGTGTACGCATAACCTCAGGACCACCCACAAACAGTCTCCGACCTCCTGGGCTCCGTGCTCTCCTCCCAAGAGAGAATTCCTTCAAACAGCCTACCAACAATCCCTATCTGGGCACTTGGCCTTTTCACTCGGATTCAGCAAAGAAGAAGACAAGGAAGGGCAGAGCTGCTGCAGGTGAGTCGTGGGGTCACCTCCTGGCCATCAGGACCCAAGGCCAGGCCGCGGCTGGCGGGTGCTGGGCGGACTGGAACCGGCACATGTGTGGGAAGAGGCCCTGCGGGCTTGGGGTCCTGCTGACCGGCCTCGATGACCCCTGGGCCAGCTCCAGCCTCGCACCCCAAGTGAAGGTGAAGGCCGACCCAGCGTGAGGCCCCCAACCCTCCTCTGCCACGTCCAACACGCCCGGGGGGACCTGCAAAAGTTTAAGTACCCGTGGTGACGGGTAATTCCACTAAGTGAGACCAGCCTGACAACCACGACTCCCTCCCTACATTGGATTTATGCTCCAGCTCCACCAAACCAACCGCGGACCCCCCACGGGTCAGGGATGTTTCTCGGCAGCCTGTCCTACCCCACCCACCTCCCCTCCCTTTCATACTTCTAGACATGCAGCTGGCATCTCCCCCAACAAGCCTTCTGACCCTTCCAGGCTCCACGAGGCCTCCTCCCCCTCACTGCCCTGACCCTCAGTAGCCTAGCAGCTCAAACAAATGCCGAGACACAGTGTTTAAAATCAGATCCCAGCCTTTCCTCAGGCTCACAGCACCTCCCTTCTCTCTGTGCGCATTGGATTTCCACTCTGCTGCTCAGTCCCGTCCTTTTTACTTGGGGTTTTCTTTCTTTCTTTTTTTTTTTTTGCGGTACGCGGGCCTCTCACTGTTGTGGCCTCTCCCGTTGCGGAGCACAGGTTCCGGATGCGCAGGCTCAGCGGCCACGGCTCACGGGACCAGCCGTTCCGCGGCATGTGGGATCCTCCCGGACCGGGGCACGAACCCGTGTCCCCTGCATCGGCAGGCAGACTCTCAACCACTGCGCCACCAGGGAAGCCCCTACTTGGGGTTTTCTTCTCATGCTTAGTGGCTTTGGCTGTCCAACCACATATTTAAGATTTAAGAGTAAACACTATTTGGGTTACATGTATAATAAACTGCTTCCACCATGCTGAGTGAAGGAAGAAAAAGATGTAACCTTACAATAAGGAAAATGCTGATTATTACAATTTGGATCAGATGGGGAGGGGGAAGCTGAAGGCAACAGAAAATATAACTGTTTTATATCCCTTAGTAAAAAAATGGGGTATAAATAAATACTGAAGAATACTAAAAACCCAAACAGTGAAACACTAAAAGGCTGAGTGGAAACTCTTGAGTATGAGTGAAGATCTACTTTCTTACAATGAACTAAGTTCAATGTCTCTGGGGTTGTGTGTCGGGATCGGACACCCGGGAGAGTCTGTTTTCTTTGGCTGCCAGTCTAGAAGCCGGGGGTGGGGGTGGGGGTGGTGAAGGCGGGGGCTGGGTCTCAACACCCAGTCTGTGGACTTGCTCTCAGCCCTCTCCTCAGGACGGCTCCCTTCCCTCAGGTCCTGCAGTGCGCCTGGTGTCCCCCAGTCCAGACACTCTCCAGCTGACTCTTTCCTAAAAACAACCTTGGGAAAGTGTGCGCCTTTACTTGTCTGCTGAGGTGGAAGGGTCGTCACTGTGTGCTTGCATCGGGGAGCGGACTGAGGGGGTCCATGTCCAAATGGCCTTTCAGGTAATCCTCCTGCTCTAAGTCCCCCTTCACCAGGGGTCCCTGGCTGTGCCATCTCCTGGGATTTGGAGGGGGCCACGGCCAAAGGCAGCTGCTCCGGGCTGCTCCTGGCACTGGGAGGTGGACTGGCCCTTGGCCATCGCTTTGTGGCAATCATCTCCTCTCCCGTCCTCTTCGGTTTTATGCTTTAAAACCAGTCTTCACTGTGCTTTCAGAGGGAACAAACACATGTGGCCAACCCGCCACCTTTCACAGGAGGATGCTCTTGAGACTCCTCACAACAACCTTATGACTTAAGTATCACTAGTCCCCGTTCACAAGAGAAAAAGAGGCTCAGAGCAGCTGCTTCACCAAGGTCAGTACATCATAAAGCTATCATTTGAACCCACCATTTGAAGTTCATTATTATTATTATTCACATATTAGAGATAAAAAAATTAAGGTCTAGAAAGGCTACGTATTTACTAAGATTACAAGGCAAGCAAGCGTCAGCGGGCAGACCCGAATTCAAGGCTATCTGACTTCAAAGCCCATGTTCTCTCTCGTGTACGTTACTTCTCGATCTCTGAGTCCAGCCCAACCCAACTGCTCTATCAGCGTGCAAGAATATACACCATGTATTTTCATTTTTCCATATTTTCCCTAAAACCAGAATAAGTATATTTGGGTTGATCTGGATAACGCTTTTATAATCAAGCACTGCCCTGGGATTGCAGGGTCTGCATTTGCGTTTGTGTTTGCTATATCACTGCAGCCTAGAAGTGCTACTTGATGATCACAGGCTCATGAGGACAGACCGGTCTGCCTTACTCGATAAACAGTATGTTCGCACCAAGTGAAGCCAGATGAAGTCAAGGTCTACTGTGAGAACAAATGCTTTGCAGCTGTTTAAAAAGCGGTGGAGGGACTTCCCTGATGACGCAGTGGTTAATAATCCACCTGCCAATGCAGGGAACACGGGTTCAATCCCTGGTCCAGGAAGATCCCACATGCCGTGGAGCAACTAGGCCCATGCGCCACAACTACTGAGCCCGCGTGCCACAACTACTGAAGCCTGCGTGCCTAGAAGCCCGTGCTCTGCAACGAGAAGCCACTGCAATAAGAAGCCTACGCACCACAACGAAGAGTGGCCCCCGCTCACAGCAACTACAGAAAGCCCGCGTGCAGCAACGAAGACCCAACCCAACCAAAAAATAAAAAAAGCAAAACCCAGCTGAGGGCTTCCCTGGTGGTGCAGTGGTTGAGAGTCCGCCTGTCGATGCAGGGGACGTGGGTTCGTGCCCCGGTCCGGGAAGATCCCACGTGCCTCGAAGCGGCTGGGCCCGTGAGCCATGGCCGCTGAGCCTGCGCGTCTGGAGCCTGTGCTCCACAACGGGAGAGGCCACAACAGTGAGAGGCCCGCGTACCACAAAAGCAAACAAACAAGCTGGGCCAGTAACAATATTTTCATGTTGTGAGTAGCAATTCCATTTCAGTAAAACATCCAGGACCACAACTGATGTTCACCTGAATGTTACTGTAAAAGTAACTTTGTTGTAATTTACTTTGTTTTGGTTTTTAATGGCTGAATAAAAATTTTAAGCCCAGGGGTTTACACTTTGTTTATCATAAATAACGGTAAAAAAATAATTTGGGCAAATGTGGGGATTGCGAAGATTTTGGGTGTGTGTGTGTGTGTGTGTGTGTGTGTGTGTGTGTGTGTTTCTTCTAAGGGTCAGTTTGAAAAGTTAGGTAACCTGAAGACTGGCCAAAAGGAGACAATCACCCCGTGACACCATGTTACGGCACCGTAAGCGCTAGCAGACGGCCAGCACCCGTTTCCTGTAATGTTCCCATCATCACCCCTATAATCTCTTTGCATTATGGGTTATTCTCTCTCACGACGTTTTCCCTTCTAACTGGTTACCAACGTGGGGGTGAAAAGTCTGCCCTTTCACCTGTACACCCCACAGCACTTAGCAGTGTGCCACACACGTAATATGATACACATCTGTTGGATCTGTTGGGAAAGACGCCGAAGTGAGTACTATACCCCTAATGACAGGTGAGAAGACAGGCTCAGAGAAGCCTGATTGGCTTCAGGCCACCAGGCTGCACACGAGTGGTCTGACCGTAGCGGGGCCTGCCAGCACGGGGCCTGGCAACTCCCAGGGCCAGAGTCTGCTGAACTCTTGGGACGACTGGGGGTGGTCTCGGCGAGGCCGCTCCCCTCCGGGTCGGCCTCCTCCTTTGTACCGCGGGGCGCCCCCGGAGCTCGGAAACGTGACTGGCAGCGGGGGTCTTGCGGGCTGACCCCCCTCGAGCCTTACCATTTGATGATGTTGTGAACCAGTGGGAGGAAGGAGCAGTTCTCCTCCGCCTTCACGCCGGCCGGTGACGGAGGCCTCGGCGGCGGTTGCGGCTGCGGCGCGGAGACCGGCGGCGGCGGCTGCGGAGGCGGCAGCGGCTTCGTCTCGGGCAGCGGCGGCTCTGCGGGTGGCTGCAGCGCATCCTCGGCCTGCCGGCCGACAGACACCCCCACAGAAGCCATGGCGCCCGGGACCCACGGAGCCGGTTAACGGGGCCGGCGGCCGAGCGCGCCGGAAGTGTCTCGGACTCTGTACGTCACCACTGTGCGCCGCGGGGGCGGGACCTGGAGGGAGGCTGTGAGATCGCGCGCCAGGGCGCGGGGCGGGGACCAGGGCGTGGGGCGGGGCCAGGGCGCGGGGCGGGGCCAGGGCCGTCGTTACTAGGCAACAGGCGGCTGGAGGGTCCGGGTTGGCCTGGATTTGGCTGTGCCTGAGACAGCTAAAATTTTCAATAGTCAGAAATAGGCGTACTTCAGGAATAACATCTTATTTCTATTCACGTTACAAAGAGGGTCCAAAAGCAACCAGTACAAGAAGACTTGAGATAAATAAGGCCTCGCGAAGAGGGGACAGCACCTGCCGGGCACCTGCAGGTGTCAGACCCTGGGCCCGCGAGCGTGGAGAATCCGAGGGGAAGGGCCCAGGGTTCCCACCTGCGCAGAAGCCTACAGGGGAGAGGCCCTGAGCCTGCCCTAAGGACGCAGAAACAAAGAAATTGCGAGGGCCTAATAACTGAACACTTAATTATTATCATAATTATATTATCACTTATCTTCTGGATGACACACGCTGTGCTAACTGTGGGGGTGGGGGTGGGAGGCTGTCTCAACTTCAACACGAGCGGGGATTGCCGAAGGGTATTAGTGCCAGGAATAAACATCGTATCCGAGGGGGAAGTCAACGTCAGGTATTCTCCGTACCTGTGGGCCAACTCCTTAAGCCCCTGGGTGTCAGTGTGCTCACCTCTAAAATCTTCTTGAGTTCAGGGTCATGACAGAGCTAAACTACTCTCCAACTTCAGACACGTGGCTGATCTCTGAAGGTGTCCTTGGCATGAGCTCTCACTCCCTGCTGTCTTAGGCCAAAGTGGGGACTTCTCCTGGGTTTGTGGTTACGCTGCCCAAAACGAGTCCTCCCGAGCCATGATGTGGGGCTGTGTGATACGTTTCTGGACAATGGGGACATGCATCCTAAGCTTGGCTAGGAAAGCCCTGCCCTTCCTCAGCGGCTTTGGAGAGGCAAGGGGTCCACAGTCATTGGCAAGAGCACTTAAGAGCAAGGTGGCTGGTCCCAGGGAAAGCCTCAACAGTGATATTTTCAGATGCATCTGGAGGCGTCTGTGGAGGCAGGTCCTAGGGGAGGAAGAGTGTTGAAGGAAGTGGGGAGGTCGGAGGGTGTGCTGAGGGGCGCTTTGGTAGCGGGCCTCAGCACAGCTTTCTTGTAAGAACTGCCCAGGGCACCCCACAGGGAGAGCACGGGGAGAGGGTGGCCTGCTAACCATGGGCCTCTGCCCCAGGGGGAAAGTTCAGGGGTCCTGGTGGAGAACAAGGAGGAAGGTCCTGCTGGGACAGGACTAGATGGGCTTGAAGAGACTGCACCCCGTTGGAGTCATCTGGGGAGATAATGACGGTATAATAATGGTAATTACCACAACTACTGTGGATCAAAAGTAGGTACAAGGAACAGAGCGCAGTCATCTCATTTAATCCACAAAAAAACCTCTAGAAGGTAGATGTTAGTATCACCATTTTATAGATGGTAGATTCTGGCCCCAGGGTCACACACCTGCCTGATACAAAGCCCATGGTCTTAACCAACACAGAGGACACCTCAGGTCCCTACCAGTTCTGTGACTGTATGATTCAAAATGTTAAAGTGAGGTTTTTATTCAGAATCAGAAAAAGAATCCAAAGTTCATCCACAATCTCCCCATTGAAATCACATGTCATCTTTCCCTCCCAGTGTGTTTACAACTTCATTACAAGCCCCGACTTCATCGTTGGCAGAATAATGAGGACATCTCTTAAAAAAAAAAAAACACTTCAGATATAAATAGATATGGCTAAAGAAAATAAATTGAAAATGTAGGAAGCAGGAATGGGTAGAGTGCATTGACAGTTTGCCCTAAAAATAGTTAATATAATTAGTGGTAAAGGGTAAAGTTGACCTCATAACATTGGCAAGAAAAATGTTGGATGTCAGAAAAGTACTGCCTGTGCTGGTTTCAATAAGGCTGAAATTACCACAGATGTGTGTCGTCTCAGAACTGCTCTGTTAAAAGTTAAAAAAAAAAAAAAAGAAGCCCCACTGACACATAAGGACTGTGTGGTGTTGATGTCCCTGAGTAAAGCTGTCTGCTCGTTGAGTTCACGGCTCTCTCTTCTTCTCATGGGCCCCTGCAGACCAGCTGGTGGCCAGGCCAGGCCCCACTCAGCCTGTTTGAAGCTGTATGACTCTGAACTCTGCACAACCTCCTTCATGCAGGCATACAACCTCCCAGGAAGACTGAACAGGTTATTACACATAAATCACCTTGAAAAGTCCCCAGGAACAGTAACAATCACTTCTTACTTTTCAGACTTAGGGCTTTCTCCTTCACCAATTGACAAAACCCAGACTTAGGGCACTTAAGAGGAACGAGCTGGATCAATGCCCTCCAACAGAAATAGACGCAAAGCCACTTGGGTCGTTTTCAGTTTTCTAGTAGCCACACAAAAAATATCAAAAGAAACAGGTGGAACTAATTTCAGTAACATATTTTACTTAACTCATGTGTCCAAAATATTACCGTTTCCACATGTAATCAATACTAAAAATGATTAAAGAGGTGCTTTACTGTTTTTTATACTGTCTTTGAAATCTACTCTGTATTTTACACGCATAACACATCTCAGCTGGAATTGCCACGTTTCAATTGCTCAGGAGCCAGACGTGGCCAGCGCCCGGACCTGGACAGATCGCAATCCAAAGGAACTAGAGTATATTGCTACTTATATAAATATTTGCAACATGAAAAATAACACTATGTATCGTCCACAGATATAAGACATACATGTAAAAATGTTTTAAAAGGAACTGAACGGTGCACCTCATACTCACGGAAAAGGGGAAGGTGATATAACCAGCACTGCAGCTTTCTGTGTGGTGTTGTATTTCTTCTATAGATTATAAGGAAAACTGTGAACGATTGCCAAGTGTGGGAGGGATACCTTAGAACCCAGGCTCTGCTCTTTCTGGCTGTGTGACCTCGAATAAGCCATTTATCCTTCCCGTGCCTCAGTTTCCTTATCTGCAAAATGGAATCATAACAGCACCTAACAGGACTCCTATAAGGGTTACAGGAGTTACCATGTGGAGAGGGCTTCAAACAGTGCCTGACACTAGGAAGCAACCATTGAAGCTTTAGCTACTACTGCTACTGTTCTATTAAATTTCTCAAAAGAACCAAACCTCACGAGTACTCCTTCTGAAACAAACTGTTACTACAAGAACACACTTAAGAACCAGGCTGCATCGAAGCCTCGAACTTTCTGATTCTCTAAGTGGCCCTACGCCACAAATAGCTATGAATGTGCTCGTGATACATTTCTGCTACCTGAAGTCCAAAAATAGTCATTTCTCTATCAGACAAACATCGCGGGGATTGCTAGACTGATCATGTCGTTGAATGATCCGGGCTTTTTCTTCAAAGCTATATTCTTACATCTGATTCATCCTTTCCTTTCATTAACTGGAGCCTCAGGCGGGTAGGAAAAGCTACATGATACTTTGACTTTTGTGAGTTTAAAAGAAAACAGGCAGCAAACATGGTTCAGGCCAGCATAGTGCGACGTGTCCCAGGAATCGGCTCGTCCGAGCCATGATTCACGGCTCAGACCTCAGGACGAAAGCTTTTCCTCTGATCCTCCCTGAGGATGGCCTTTCTCCTCTCGGAACTGGATTTGATTTTCTTTCTTTTAAAGTCTTTATTGAATTTGTTACAATATTGCTTCTGTTTTATGTTTTGGTTTTTGGGCTGCGAGGCATGTGGGATCTTAGCTCCCTGTCCAGGGATGGAACCGGCACCCCTGCACTGGAAGGTGAAATCTTAACCACTGGACCGCCAAGGAAGTCCCTGACTTTCTCCTTTTTATTCCTTTCAACCTTCCTCTCTTACTCTAAAATACTCCAGAATGACCAATTTCTCCTCTCACTTATGTTAGTGTTTCATTTCTCAGAAGCACTCCTTTTGGGGTCTTTCAGCTCACGAATTTGACTAAGTTTCTTTCAGACTCAGAATTTTCTCCATAAAACCTTTCCTTTAGTCCTTATTCCTACTTCTTCTTATCTTTGACCAGACCTCCATCTGCTTTGGATATAATAAAAATGAGAGGCAGGGCTTCCCTTGTGGCTCAGTGGTTGGGAGTCCGCCTGCCGATGCACGGGACATGGGTTCGTGCCCCGGTCCGGGAGGATCCCACGTGCCGCGGAGCGGCTGGGCCCGTGAGCCATGGCCGCTGGGCCTGTGCGTCCAGAGCCTGTGCTCCGCAATGGGAGAGGCCACAACAGTGAGAGGCCCGCCTACCACAAAAAAAAAAAAAAAAAAAAGAGAGGCAATCCATTCCAGAAACCTGTTTTTGTCTAAAATGGTGCGTTACTGTCCCGAAGCCTTACACCATCTGACCTCCTTATTCAGTCATTTTCACTCACATGATTTGTGAGCCAAGCTTTTTTCTGTCTCCTCAACAGCCTCAGTCTTAACCTGTCCTGTTAACCCTTTTCGTCACTTTCATTCCTCCCTATTTCTGGAAGTTACCTTGTTTCCCTTATTGGATTTATTGTAAGTCTTTTGACTCTCGATTGCTAACTCCAGTTGCAAAATTATAGTTAAAAATTATTATGCACCTGGCGTGCTGGAGAGCACCGCGCATCTGCTGCCTGTGAGCGGCGTGTGGCTGGTCCTTCTGCCCCGGTCCCGTGGCTGGGTTTTCCAACCCCTTTGTATGGGAGGAGTTAGCCTGTAACCGCAGACATTCAGAATGTCCCCAAACTTCAGAGGCCAGCAGGTCCCAAGCTGAATCCTGGAAGCAGCGTCAAGAGAGGGACCAGCAGCCTCTGTCCCACTGTCCGTCCTCTCCTTAGCACGTCTTTGAGAATGTGGTCTGGTGAGCGCTGCACATTTCCTGCCGATCTTCGGCTCGGCCACACGGTGTGACCCTAAGAGCCATCAGAAGATCCCCCTGCCCGTCCAAATGCTCTGTGCCAGGAC